AACAGTGAATAAGGGTTCCAGTTTCTCCTCAACCTCTCCAGCTTCTGCTGTTTGCTGTCCTTTTAAATTTTGCTATTCTTACTGGGGTGAGATGATATCTCATAATTGTTTTTATTTGCATCTCTTAGAACTACGGATTTTGAACATCTCTTCATGTATTTGTTCTTTTTTGGTGAGTGTTCATATCCTGTTCCCTTTTTGCAATTGTGTTGTTCACCCTTATCTTGTTGTGGTGCTCAGGTATTCTATAAATTCTATATATAAGTCCCTTATTTGACATGTCATTACCAAATATTTTTTTCCCTGTCTGTGGCTTCCCTTTCTACCCAGTTGGAGTTTTTAGACGTTTGTAGGGATTTTATTCTTAGAAGATCCATTCATCTATTTTATCTCCTGGTTGTACGTTTTTCAGGATACTTGGAAGACTTTATGTTGTGGATTAGGGCTTCTAGGGTTCTTCCACGCTTTACTCTAATGAAATTTATAGTCCTTGGTTTTAATCCTAGGTCCTTGATCTATTTTGAGTTGTTTTTTGTGTATGGAGTGAGGTGTGGTTCTTACTTGAATTTTCTTCAGATAGTTTTCCAATGTTGCCAACACCATTTATTAAAAGGGCTATCATTTCCCACTTAACTGTTTTCATCTCCTTGTCAAAAATCAGTTGAGCATAGGTAGATGGGCTGATTTCTGGGTTCTCAATTCTATTTCATTGACCTGTGTGTCTGTCATTGTACCAGTACCACATTGTCTTGACCACCATGGCAGTGTAGTAGGATTTTAAATCAGGGAGTGAGATGCCTCCTATCTTGTTTCCCTTTTTAAGGAGTGCTTTGCTTGTTCAGGACCTCTTTCCACTCCAAATAAAATGGAGACTGGCTTTTCATCACATTGAAGAATGGAATTGGTATTTGTATTGAGATTGCATTGAATGTGTAAATTGCTTTTGGTAGTATTGTCATATTCACAATATTGAGTCTTTACATCCATGAGTAAGGTATATTCTTCCATTTCTTCAGGTCTCTTTTTGTTTCTTGTAGTAATGTTTTATCATTTTCTATGAAAATTTCCTTTGTGCTTCTGGTTAGATTTCCTCCCAAGTATTTAATCGTGTGATTATCTATTATGAAGGGTATTGTTTTTCTTAGCACCAGTTCTTTTTTATTTTTGTTAAACACATCTGATGGGTAGTGTGCATATGTCATAACAAGGTTTAAAGGATGGCACATATTATACAGAAGTATGACGTTCCAGTCATCATGCTTATGAACTGGAAAAGGGTCTTCATTCTAGTTCTGTGTTCTCTTTGTCACTGTAGAGAAATCCATTTGATTTTTGTATGTTGATTTTGTATTCTGGCACTTTGCTGAATTGGTCAACTATAGCCTGTAGTTTTCTTGCTGAGTCTTTAGGGGATTCTAAGTATCCTATCATATCATCTGCATAGAGAGATAATTTTACCTCCTCTTTGCCAATTTCGATACCTCTTATTTCCTTCTCTTATTGCTATTGCTAAGAAGTGAAGGCTGGGTTTAGAAGGGGTCGTGGTACTATGGCATATTGTAGCTAATGTTAGATGGATCTTGGCTGAAAGCAGGGAGTACCACAGAAGTGTCTATCTGTGTTTCATTGGTTATAAAAAAGTGTTTGACTGTGTGGATCATAACAAACTGTGGCTAACTCTGAGAAAAATGGGAATCCCAAAGCACTTGATTATGCTAATGGGAAACCTATACTTGGACCAGGAGGCAGTCGTCAGAAAGGAAAACACTGCATGGTTCAAAATTGGGAAGGGGTATGCCAGGGATGTGTCCTATCTCCATACCTTTTCAATCTATATGCAGAACAGACTATCTGGGAGGCTGGGCTGTATGAGAAGAAATATGGCATCAGAATTGGAGGAAGATTCATCAACAATCTACATTATGCAGATGACACAACCCTGCTTGCTGAAACAGGAGGACTTGAAACACTTACTGCAGAAGGTCAAGGACTGCAGTCTTCAATATGGATTGAGTCTCAATATCAAGAAAACCAAGATTCTATTAAAACAACTATGAGATATCATTTCACCCCAGTCAAAATAGCAAAATTTAACAGAACAGCAAGCAACAAATGCTGGCGAGGTTGTGGAGAAACTGGAACCCTTATTCACTGTTGGTGGGAGTGTAAAATGGTGCAACCCCTGTGGAAAGCAGTATGGCGCTTTCTCAAAAAGTTGCAAATAGAGATACCATTTGACCCAGCAATTCCACTACTGGGAATATACCCTGAAGAGACCATAGCTGACATCCAAGCAGATATATGCACACCCATGTTTATTGCAGCTTTGTTCACAATAGCAAGGAGTTGGAAACAACCTAAGTGCCCATCAACAAACGAATGGCTAGAGAAGCTGTGGTATATTCGCACAGTGGAATACTATGCTGCATTAAAAAACAAGGAACTCATGCAATATTATTCAAAATGGTTGACTCTGAAGAACATTATGCTGAGTGAAATATCCCAGTCACAAAAGGACAAATATTACATGATGCCACTGTTGTAGAATGGGACTGTCCTTGGGGTTGGGGAGAGACTGAGTAAGATGGGTTCAATAATGTATACTGCACTGAAACAGAGGAGGGAGAAAACTGTTTAAAAGAGATATATAACTAGGTATTTCTGTCATCACAGGAGACTAGAGCGAGGGCTACATGGTGGAGGGGACCTGGGGGAGGGTTTGTAAAACAATGAAAGAATCTTTTCTTTTACTTTTCCACAATTTTTGGACTCATGTACTTATAACTTGTTAGTCAAATTTGTGTCTTCTAGGTTGCAACACCCCCATGATACATCTTCAAGGATATGAACATGTACGGCCAAGCACAATCAATAAGAGTGCATCTAAATTCCAAAATCAATCTCCATAATAGTCTATGTGTTTCCTACTGCCAAAGGGGCCCTTTAGAGTAGTGAGAGAAGAGCTTCACCCTGAAACCCACAGCATCCCTTTTCAGCAGGAAGTAGCTAAGAGAATACGCCATCCCCTTTTCCTTATGACTCAGGGTGAAGTCTCTCTCAGGGAGGAGTGATAGGGAATGGCAAAGGACACACTGACAAAGAAGATTAATCAGAACTGGCTTTGACAAGCACTGTGGCATTTGGACAAGAACAAACTGGGAGGAGGGTAGAGAGAATAGTGCAACAATGAATGAATGGAAACCCAAAATCTCTGTAAATGTTTATGAAAATTAATAAAATATAGGGAAAAAAAAAGAAAACCAAGATTCTTACCACTGGGCCAGTTGACAGCATCATGATAGATGGTGAAGAGATTGAGATTGTTCACAGCTTTAGTTTTCTTAGCTCCACAACACTCTGCACCAGCAGCCAGGAAATTAAAAGACTTGTTTTGATGGGAAAGTCTGCTATTAGAGACGTCTCCAAAGTATGGACGAGCAATGATGTCACACTGGAGACTAAGGTGTGCCTGATGCAGACTGTGGTCTTTGCCATCACTTACTATGCATCAGAGATGTGGACATTGACTAGTGATGATAGAAGGAGATTTGATGCCTTTGAGCTGTGGCGCTGAAGAGTATTGAATATACCATGGACTGCCAAGAAAATGAACAAGTTCGTCCTAGAGAGGGTTAAATCAGGCTGCTCCTTGGAGGCAAGAATTCTGAAGCTTCGTCTGACATATTTTGGACATATTGTGAGGAGGGACCAGTCCTTGGAGAGGAACGTCTTACTTAGGAGGGTGGAGGGACAGTGCAAGAGAAGAAAACCCTCAATGAGATGGATTGATTCCTTGAGCGTGGTAATGGGGGGTAGGTGTGTCAGAGACACTAAGATTGGCACAGGATAGAACAGGGTTTAGGGCTGTTGTACATAGGGTTGCTATGAGTCGCAGGTGACTGGATGGCACATAACAACAATGGAGTTTATAAGTTAAGGAGCTTTACTGACACATTATAGAATCTTAGTTGCATGTGCAGTTGATTTCAGATTGCAAAAGTTGGTAGAAATCTTCTGTTTCCTCCTTTTTGGTGTTATTTTTGTTGTGTATATTTGAAGATAGTTGTTCTTCAGGATGAATCTAGAAATGCATGGTCTTTTTTGCTATGAATACAACTCTATTTTTCTTCACTTTTTCATCTCAGACCTAGTTTATCATATGCCAGCTCACTAATAACTAGTATGTCAATATTTATATGTTCGATTTCTTTTTTTAACAATGTCCAGTTCTCCTACATTTCATACTTCTTACATTCCTTGTTTCATTTATTAGTGGGTGTTTGCAACTATTGCTCCTCATTTTCTTCATCTTCCAGTATAGCCTCCAGTGCTATATCTAATAGTCTAATAAGTGTGTTCTGTTCTTTATAGGGTTTTATGGGGTTAGGTGTGTCAGAGACAATGAGGTTAGATTGGGATAGGACAAGGGTCAGAGCCATTGTTCGTATGGTCACTGTGAGTTGTAGTCAACTCAGCAGCACATAACAACAACAATAATTGGTTATTGATACGTTGGTTACAGTACTCAGCTGCCAACTGAAGGCTGGTAGTTGAAACCCAACACCTACTCCACAGAAGGATGTGGTATCCTGCTTCTGGAAAGATTTGTTATTTCTGTAGGTGCCATAAAGTTAGCCTGTAGGGATTCTACAAATTGGAATCAACTGGACATATAAATTAAGAGTTTTCGTTTCTTGAGAATATGTGTCATTTTGAAAATATGTGCTAACCCGAAGAGACTTTAAAGAGGTGTTACGACACATCCCCTGTTACAGTCTCAAAGACTATCTTAACAAAAGAAGTCAGTGTTCCTGCCTATCAGGATTTTCTTTAATAAAGAAATATATTTCCTAAAGAAAAGATCTCAGTGGGATTTGACTTGACTACTGATCAATTTGGAAGGCAGTTTTTATTTAAATAAGATCATTGACTTGTCTCTAGAATTTTGACATGATTTTAATTTCATTGTCCTGTTTCTCATGTTGGCTTGTTCTTTCTAGCTCATCATTAGGTTACTTACAACATCCAGGATCAGAACAAGTGCAGTTTCCTCGAACAACATCACCGTGCAGTTCCCAGCAGCTTCAGAGCCACCAGTGCACAGGTATGAGGAGATCCCTGGGGTCGGGGAGGGCAGAGTGATTAAATGATTTTTTCTGTTTGAGAACAACCACATTAAGTTCCGTGGACATTTCTAGAAATAAGGTTCTTGACTTTCTATAAGCCAAGATATACCCCAGGATATTTAAGGTGCCATAGTAAATCAAGGTTAACCTATTTATTTACTACTAATTAATGCTACCACACCAACCTCCTGACCTACCTTTAGGTTCTCCTCCTTCTCTTGCCTCATAAAGGTTGATGGTCTGGTGTCCTCTTCTAGGCCCTCTTCTCATTGCTTTTAAGTTCTCTCTGGGTGAGCCAACCACATCCTTAAGGCTTCGGCGACTGCTTTTTATAGGACTTTCCAAATCTTACTTCTCAGAGAAGACCATGAATGCTTATTGGATATCCATACCCTGCTGTGTCTTGGACACATCAAACTCAGTGTTTTTCCTCTACTTCTTGCATCCCTTACCTTCCTTTCCCCTTAGACACTAAGAGAAAAACTTCAAAGTCATCATTAACTCCCTTCTCCTCTCTCCTCCCCATTAAGTTCATAGAGTCATCAGTTCCCCATATATGATGCGTTCTTCCCCCACAATTGCTATTTTTTGATCAGTTCTTTTCATGCTTTCTTTTCCGTAGTCTTAAAATCCCATTCAGTCCTAACAGTACACTAAGAAATTACTGCTCCTACAGAGGCTTCTTCAGTCTAAAAGACAGCAGTCTGTTCTTTTATCTCTGCTTCTGTCCAAGTACACTATACAAACTTTTATCTCCATCTTTCTTCATTGTAATGTTTTGTTGACAGTAAGTATAAATAGATGCCTGAAAAATAACCAATAAAAGATTTTAGCATAAATGACTAGTTATGGCCACATCCGGCGTGGGATGCTGTAACTGAAGAGTGATGTGAAATACCCCCGAATGGCCCTCAGCCCTTTCAGTGCTGGTCAGGCTGATTCTGTTTCTAGATAGGATTTCTCTTGACTCTGCAGCTGCTGTAATGTTTTAGCATATATTTGATTCTCACAGTGTAAATGTAAAGTCAGCTGGGGTCCTTCCTAGCTTCATTTTCAGGTAAGAAAGCAGAGAATAAAATAGGTCACATGTTTTTGGTTTTTTGTTTTGTTTTGTTTTTCGCTTAAAAGACATTTCATGGTATTAAAATTGTGCTTTCTCACACCCACATCCCAAATTTTTCCACTGCACAAAACTCATTCACTAATTTATTTTCTAAAGATGACTTTATATTGGCAATAGTTACTAATTTTTCCCAGAGATTTTCTTTGTGTATTTATTCATATGAAGTACCTGGTTTTACATTTCTTTCTTTTTTTCTTATGCACCTTTGAGATCTGTCTCATTTATGCTCCTCTCTTCTTATAGATCCTGCAGAATGTAACTGGCTGCTTCTGAGTACCTATTGGGTCTAGAATAAATGAGATGTTATGAATATGGGGTCAATTTTAATGCCCTTGTTGTTAAACACATGTAGTTGTAGAATAAAGCACTAGGGTTTAAATCCAAATCACTTAACAGTAAAATTTTGTTCAAAAATGTAAAGTTATTGCCATTATCCAGCATTCGATGATACCGACTGAATTGCCTTGTCCTGGTTGTATTTTTCAGGTATGCCACCTCTGCCACCCAGTGGAGGAATGGTGATGATGCAGCTCAATGTACCAAACAGCGCACAGTCGCATGCCCACTCACCCCCACAGTGGAAACAAAACAAATACTACTGTGATCACCAGAGAGGACTGAAGTGTGTGGAATTCAGCAGTGTGGACAGCATTGTCCAGGTAAGAGGATTTGTTTGTTCAGTATTATTTTGACCCTTGATAGTATTTTAGTTGGCTGCTAACAGAGGTTTGTGGTTTGAACCTACTAGCTCTTCATGAGGGCAAAATTCTTGGTGATCTGCTTCCATAAAGACAAACCCTGTGGGCAGGCCCACACTGTCACATGATTGCTGTGATTCAGATTAGACTTGGTGCATCACCACCACCACAGGATTAAACTGTGATAACTTACCAGGTGCTCTGATGCTGGAGGCCTGTCATTAGTGTTTCAGATACCAATAGGGTCATTCTTGCTGAACAGATTTTAATGCAGCCTCTATACTAAGATTAGGAAGAACAACCTGGCAGGCTACTGTTTAAATTCATATTTCAGTATTATTTCCCAACTTCTGCACACCTAAAATATTCTTAACATAAAATTTTAAAAAACAGTGCATCAAGGAAAAGGCCATAGGCAGGTGTTAAAAACATTACATAAAGGGGCTCATTGAGACTTTAAAATGAGTATAGGCCAATAGCTCTTGAACCCACTGATCAATTTCACATATTTGCAGCCACCATGAGGGCAGCCCCATCTGACCCCCTCCCAACTCCACAGGAAAACTCTCCCATCCTCAACACAGCACTGGTTTTTGTGAAATTGGATGTCCCTGTGCTCCCCTACCTACTTTCACCAGTGCTGATGTTAGTGTTGCTTCCCAGGGCCCTGCTGCAAAGTCTGCTGATTGGTTGCAGTGGCCAAACAGAACCACTACCTTTATGGGGTCCATTAGGGAGGTGAACAGAGAGCCTTCTTGGTTGATCACAATTATAGGGAGCTCTACTGATGGAGCTCCTTGGGAGCTTCACTGCTGAAACCCAAAGACAGATCCCGCAGCAGTTCAAATCCATCAGCCACAGCACTTGAAAGCAATGGGCAGTTTCCTTCTGTGCAATTTAAAGCTTCCAAAGACCCACTGGGGAGCCAGCTGAATCAGTTCCAATGGCAAAGAGTTTGAGTTTTCAGTTTTAGGGAAGTTCTCTCTGTCGCTCCCTTTGTCGAGTCATTCCAGGTCATAGCTGACCCCCCCAGTGGAGTGACAACCCAACTCCTTACCAATGGGTCACCAGAACTCCCAAGTTACAACTCCAGTTGAAAACAACATAATCTTCCATAAAGATGACTACTCAGCATTACCCACAGACCCTTTGACCTTTGGTCTCGATTTTAGGTCAGAATTACAAAGCTCTCTTAGTCTTGGCAGTTACAGTATCCTCCCTACCCCACCCCACCATCTTTCAGTAAGCTTGGGCTGCGGCTCTCTGCCTCTGGCCCTGCGATAGTATCTGAGGTCAGCTCTGCCCCGCCTTGTCGGTCGCTGGTTCTCCATGGTTTCTGCTCTGCTCTGGATCCCTGCCTGACAGGCCCAAGGATCTATGGCCTAAGAATGTACACTGCATTCTCTGAGGCTGCTTCTTTCTTACTGGTAGTGAGATTTCCATTTTCTTCCTCTAAACCTGCTCATTGAACACTGCTTGGATAGTAATACTGCCTGATCCAGTCACTAGTAGTCTATATACCTTATTTGCATGTTCTCATCCAGCCATGTGGTCAAAGTCAAAGGCACTGGCCTGGGAAAACCATGTTGAACAAGAACCCCGTTCCACTACAGCCTCCTGATGTGGTATGAAAGCAAGTTCATGATGAATTCTTGTTAAAAAATTGTACCTGATCAGACCTATAAACCTAGCTACTACCTTACAGCAAATAATAAGAAAAGAAAGAACATGATATAGAGGATATTTTACTCAAGAAATTGGCCCTGTTTTTTTAACACATTAATGGCATTTTGAGGACTGAGACTGTATTAAATTAGAAGACTCAAGAAATATAACAGATTAATTTTATACATATAACTATATAATACATTGTTGAGTACCATGAAGTCAGAACTGACCCTGTTAATCACATGGTAGGAAATTGCCCATCCTTTACCTGTGGAGCAGCTGGTGGGTTTGAACCGTTCTCCTTTGGGAACTCCCTACGCATACAGTAAAAAATTCTTCCTGCCTATTTTGTGGCTTTTTGTTAATGATCTGGTAAGAAACACTGAGATGTGAGGCAAAAGTAACACGGACCTTAATGCATCAGGTTGTGTGTCATCATGACTGGGCCATGATTCTGGTTTAGTGGTTACAAAATGGTGTAACTTGACATTCATGTGATGATGTGGACATCCTGCATTTTCATACAGTGCCAATTTTTACATAACTCAGGGTTTGGAACTAACCATTTTGATAAGTGAAGAACAGAACAGGAGAGAAAGCCCCTATAATAAAATGTTCACATTTGAGAAATCTATATTATTAGTAAGTACAAAAGTGAGTTAAAATTGGATTATAATGTACCCACTTTTTTCATTTATATATATAATATGTGTACTTAAGAGACTGTTACCATGGGAGTTAGAAATTTTTTTCTAAAATATCTGAACTTTTTTATAATTAAATGCATCTTTGTAATTAGGAAGAATGAAATGTTTTCGTCTGAAAGGAGCTTTACAGACAGCCCTGTCCAAGATGCTGACTTACTTTCTCGATGTATTGTTATTGCAGCACAGCCCTCAACTCAGCAGTCCCATTGTCTCACCAGCTCAGTCACCAGCACCAGCTCAGCTGTCCACCCTGAAGGCTGTTCGTCCCTCTGCACCACAACTTTCCGTGATGCCTCCATTTTCTAGACCTTTTGTCCCTGGGCAAGGTAAGTGCATGTGAAGCTCCTCACTGGCTCTGAGAACTTGCAGACCGAGATAGATAGATATATAGATATATATCTATATATATATAGATATATATCTAGATATATATATAAATAAAATGTATGTATGTATATGTATGTATGTGTGCATATATACACATGTATATACATATATATATATATATATATATATGAAAGTGGAAAAACTGACTTTCACGGAAAATTGCCTAAAATTTATTAAATCATTCAATAATTCCTGATACACTAGAATTAAAAGAACTTTAACTTACTATTGTATAAATTCATTCCTCTCATTTGTTCTTTCCATAACAAATCTGTTGCCATCAAGTCACTTCTCACTCAGATGAGCTTGCAGAGCCGAGTAGAAGAGCTCCGTAGGGTCTCTAAGCTGCCACCTATACAGAAGCAAACTGCTGCATCTTTTTCCTGTGGCCACTGACTCCAGTTAGCATCCTCCAGCTTAACCACTGCACAACCTGCTTCTCCGTTTCCATATTAGAAGAACATAGATCAGGATTTTCATTTAAAAAATTCATTGGAAACATTTGATGACCTTAATAACAGAGAATAAGGCAAAGTCCTCACCCTAATCAGTCCTGCATCTGGTTCCTGGAATGAATGGAAACAGACTAAAATAAAGCAATATGGACACTATTAAGTTTATGTCTTGGCTTTTGTCCTAAGGATAATGCATTCAAAGACTTATATACAGAAGATTTTGTTTTGTAGCCTACAAATTTAGACACAAATATCCACCACCAGTGTCAATTAAAAACAGGTTGTAGGAGAAACTGTTGGCTTCATAACCAACTCAAATGGCTCAGATGAAGATAAGAAAACCATCCAGGCTGCTCTGCCACACCTTCCCTGCGGTGGACTGCTCAGTCCCCTGCTGGAGAACCTCGGCCTGCTCACATTCATGGTTGAAGCTTTGAGAAAATTTACAAGAGAAAGAAATCCTCCTGGAAATGATCCAGTGTTCAGAATAGCCGGGACATGTCAGATTCATGATGGGAGAAGAGAATTAAATCTGACTACAAACCATTTGATGGAAAACGCCATCACTGTTGAAGTTTCAGTAGAAACAACAATAGCAAAATTTCTTAAAGCAGCCACCAGGGTCACTGATGAGGTGGTTGATAAGTTTCTGGACAATTGGAAAATGCCAGGAGTCACTATATAGTACTCATTCCTCTAAAGTACTGCATGGGTCAGTTACTCAGATATTTCCATCTAATTATTGACTGTGCTCTTGAAGATTTAGAAAAGAATAGAGACTGTTTAAAAATACTAAAAACTAAAAAAAAAAAAGTACTTAAAACTCTGGCAAGGCCATCAGGCTATGAGCACATTCAAAAGGGACTTCTTCCAAAACTCTGCACAAGATGCCAAAAGCAAGTTTAATTGGTTTTGAAACCTTCAAGTGTTTACAACTAAAATGGTATTGTTTTTTATGGTCAATATTCTTTATGTTAATGTTAGTTAATATTCTTTATGTTATATTCGATACTAAGTGTTTCAGATACCCCAGTGTCATCAGTTTTGTAAAATAACACAAACTAGAAATGTCTCTGGTTCAAATCTACCAGATGCTCTGCTGGAGAAGGAGGGAGCAATGTCCTCCTGTACCAGTCAGATCTGACTTGAGGGTACACATAAAAAAAAAAAATAATAAAATAAAAATTTTTAAAAATAAACTAAAACTAGAAATATCTCTATTTTTTCTTGGGAATGGGAACAAATTCCAAGAAAGATGATCCAACTGAATGTGGAAACTATTGAACATTATCATTAATATCACATACAAGCAAAATATAGCTGAAGATCATTCAAAAATAGCTAGAACAGTACATTGGTAGGGAACTGGTAAGAAGAATTGAGACGCAGCCATGGCACCAGGAATATCATTGCTGATTTCAGATAGATCCTGGCTAAAAGTAAGGAATACCAGAAGAATGGCTATTTATGCCTTATTGACTACTATGCAAAGGCATTTGACTGTGTGGATCATAACACATTGTGGCTGACTTTGAGAAGAATGGGAGTCCCAGAACACTTAATTGTGCTTATTGTGCAGAACCTGGTCCAGAAGACTATTGTGTGAACAGAGCAGGGGAGCACGGCCTGCTTTGGAATTGAGAAGGGAATGTGCCAGGGTTGTATTCTCTCTCCATACCTATTCAATCTGTATGTTGAGCAAATTATCCAAAAAGCTGGACTCTATGTGGAGGAGTGTAACATCAGGATTGGAGTGAGACTCATCGACAATCTGCACTATGCAGATGACACAACCTTGCTTGCTAAAAGTGAGGAGGACTTGAAACACTTGTTGAAGATTAAGAATGCAGCCTTCAATATGGATTGTATCTCAGTGTCAGCAAAACAAAGATTTTCTTTTTTCTCCCACTGGACCAATAGGCAGCATCATGATGGATGGAAAGGAGATTGAAACTGTCAACAGCTTCATCTTACTTAATCAACAATTAACACCCTTGGTGCCAACAATCAGGAAGTAAGGAGACACACTGCACTGGGAAAATCTGCATTTAGAGACCTCTCCAAATTACTGAGTAATGATACCAGTTTGAGGACTAAGGTGTGTCTGATTCAGGACGTAGTCTTTCCAGTTATTTGCTATGCATCCAAGACCCGGACAATAAATAAGGATGACAGAAAAAGAAATAACACCTTTGAGCTGTGGTGTTGGAAAAGAGCACTGAACATCCCATAGACAGCCAAGAGAACAGATAGGTCTTGGAGAGGGTGCAGCCAGAGTGCTCTTTGGAGGCAAGAATGATGCGACTTCACCACACGAATTTTGGACATGTTGCTAGGAAGGGCTATTCCTTGGAGAAGGATGTGATGTTGGAAAGGGTGGAGGGTCGGCGAAGGAGAGGAAGACCCTCAACTAGGTGGATTGACACAATGACTACTGCAGCGGGCCCTTGTGTGTCAGGAAGTGTGAAAATGGTGCAGGATACAACAAGGTTCAGCTCTTTTGTTCATAGTGTCACTATGAGACGACACCTAACAACATCATCATCATTTAGTATTTGGAGATTTGATGGCCTAGTGGTAGGGAGAGATACTGCCATCCCAAAGGCACACGGTTTAAATGCACTAGCTGTTCTGCAGGAGAATGATGGGTACTCTCCTCCCATGCAATTTACTGCCTCTGACTACCCATCAGAGTGTCAGGTATGAGTTGGTTCCCACTCTGTGGTAGCAATCTTAACACTAAAATCTGGCAACTAATACACATAATACATTTTGTAATATTTTGTAGGTGTGAACATCCTATTTGGGGGAGGAGATGAAATAAGTAGTCAGCAAGGGGCAAAGGGCACTGCTGTGTTCTTGGGCTTTGTCCAGTATGGAAACAAATGGCCACAGGAGACATGTACTGTACCCCTAATGTTAGTAAATCACTGTACCTAGAGGACTCCAAGAACTACAAAATGAGATGCTTCCCTCTGTCCTCTCTTGTTCAACGTGTACAGTTATATACATGTATAAGTATATTCTCATCTTTTTTCAAACTACATCATTTCTATAAAATTTTAATCTTTACAGAACTGTAGTGTTGTAATGTGCCTTTAAAAAAAAAGGCTAAATGCGGCTGTAAATTCTGGTTGTCAAGCTGGACTTTATTTTGTGTAGTTGTACCGTAATTTACTCACCCACTTCCCTCTAGCTAGTTACGTAGGTGGTTATTTTGTTTACTATTACTACTGCAAGATCTGTGTGTACACAGAGCTTTTTCCTTAACTTTTTATTTTACTTCCTTTGTATAAATACCCAGTATATACTAAATTTGAAGGCATATAATATGTTCATTTTCAGGCCTGGTATTTCCTATTTGGAGTAAGAGTTGTATCAATTTATATTGTATTCAGTAATTAAAATATAGCTATTGGGCTAAAAAAGTAAATGAAGCATCAATTCATATGCACTAGCATGACTCAGGCTAAAAGACTACAAACACCATATGTTGGTAAATATGCAGAACAACTGAAACTCAGTTATTCATGATAAGAATATGAAATCTGCAACCCATTAGGGGAGAAGCTTTGTTAGATTCTTATAAATGTAATAATCATGTAACAACCTTGTTTCATAATAACTTAAACTGAGCATTATATCTTTAAAATGGAATGCTACTCAAAAATTCTTTTTTTAAAATAACAAAATATTACTCTGCTGCACTCAGCAACATGGGAGAATCTCATGTTAAACACAAAACAAACCAAATGCATAATTATACACACTACACGTCTTAGGCTGGGTTCTCCAGAGAAGTAAAATCAGTGATGTGCTAGTAGATGCTCCACTGGAGAAGGATGGGCCTCTCCTCCCATGCTATTTGCTGCCTGTAAAAAGTCACTGGAGTGTCAGCTATGAGTTGATTCAGATTCTGGCAATGAGTGTTGTTTTTGTTTTGATGTGGTGGCCTAGTGGGTAAGGGATGGTGCTGCCAACTCCACAGGCAGACAGTCCAAATCCACCAGCTACGCTGTGGGAGAAAGATGGGCATTCTCCTCCTGTGTGATTTACAGTCTCTGAAAATCCACTGAAAAGTTGGCTATGAGCCAGTTCCAACTCCATGACAATGCATTGATACATACATACACAAAGAGATTAATTTCTTTCTAGTAAACAGTTCTCATATTCCTAAAGCCTAGTAAGTCCCAGGTCTGTGAATCACACCTCAAGAGAGGGTAATGAGTCCAAGGTCATCCGCAAGCAGGATTCCAGAATGGTGGCTTTGGAGGAGTCCAAGGTTTTCAACAGGCAGTTTCTCTGTTTCAAGTCTGGAGGTCGTGAGCGGGATTGGGTGTGGTTCTCTAACTACCAGTGAGGCGCGCGCGCGTGTGTGTGTGTGTGTGTGTGTGTGTGTGTGTGTGTGAGAGTGAGAGAGAGAGAGATTACAAAGTTAGGGCTTACAACACAGGGAATGGTTGCATGAGGCTAAAGATCTTGGCTGGTTGGCACACAATATTAACCACACTGTGCCTGAGTCCAATTATATGACATCCAATTACCTGGAAATCAGACAGTGATTTGACTAGGACATGGAATTGACTAGAAAGGAGATAGAGAAAACTTTTCAGGAATAGACATGTTCTTTTTTTTTTAAATACATTTTTTGTAATTATGATTAATTAGGTTTTTACAATTGTTAAAAATGCATCAGACTCAGCAATAAGATACACGTTTAACTTCCAAGTTACATGCAGCATGTGCAATCACCTAAGTTCTAGAACAAAGACTAGAAAGATACCACAATACTTAGAGTGATGAGGTTATCCAAGTAGTTTTTATATGGTCCTTTATAATGCTTCATTTCATTTTCTACAAAGCCAATTAATAGTTTAGAGAAGCAAAGCTTATTACAAGAAAGAAGTTAAAAGCCCATGTGGCAGTACATTAATAGATCTGTGGACTGGTGTGAATGCCCCAAGTGAAACACACCACCAGTCCAGTAAGAAGGGCCGTCAGTCCATATCCCAGCTCCATCATTTGAAAAGACTTCGACTTCTGCTCCAGATGACTAAATCATACTTTGTCCAAGGTTTTCCTAGAATTTTTAACTAACTCTCCTTATCGTCTGTTAATACTACTATGGTTTTCAGCCTTATTACTTTGTTACCATGTGACAATTTACACTGACATTTCTGCCCATGAATTGTATGCATCACCACAGGTCACATTGCATCTTTGACCTCAGTACCAAGGCCCATGTCACATCTGTACCTTCCACCTAAATCTTAGGAGGGAGTATGCACCCTGAGAATGGTAGGGGTGTGCCCTGCCAGGGAACTGTGTGAGAACCTACACAGTGTTCATCAGAAAGAGCCCCTTGACTGGAAGACTGTCCGCATCATGCCTCTCTCTGTAATAAAGCCATTGAGAGAAGAGGTGTAAGATTTCCTGAACAGGTTTTGCCAGCACCAGCACTTACTGGCGATCTCCCTCTAAACACAGAAGGTGCTAAGAACTCTGGGGGCTTGTGGTTAAAAATCAAAGGAGAATGTAACACAAACAAATGCAGGATAAAACTAAAACTACAAGATCATTCCTTAAATAGCTAAAAATGTTGAAATGACTACCGCGTTGTACAGATACATATCATAGTATCACAATATTCTGTAATAGAGCATTTGTTACATGACTTAGGTGTTTTCTGAATATTATACAAATAGTTCATGGTCAGTTGCACTGCTAAACAAAGGCAGCAGGTTTCACATCTACCAGCAACTCCACGTGAGAAAGATAGGCAGTCTCCTCCCATGCCCTTCACAGCCTCACAAAACGTGCTGGCGGGTCAGCTGTGAGTCTGCTCTAACCTGACAGCATTGGGGTGAGTGGTATGTTTGCATATGGAACAAAGTCATACCTGTAAAGTGCTCTAGTTCTTGGTGCTCTCCCAGAACCACAGGGCTTTACAGACTTAGCCCTACAGTTGCCTGCCTCTGGGCATGTATCACCCTGCATGCAGCCCTGAGGAGCCTTCAGAACCGGAAGGCTCAGGGCACAGCCACAGCCGCCCCACACACCATCTCCCTGCCAGCTCTGACCTTGGGCAGTAGCCTCCTAGGAGCTGAGCTAGAGCTGCCTTGGCCCTGTGAACTCGACTCCAGCCCCACCTCCTGGTGCCCATCCAAACATGTCCCTCTTCCCCACCTCACAGACGCATATGCAATAATGTAAGGCCAAGTGGACATTTTGTGGTGCATACCTGTATACATTTTTATGACAATAAAAGAAATCATGTGTCTCTCTGGAGACTAAGGTGCGCCTGATACAGGCCATGGTCTTTGCAATCACTTGTTATGCTTCGGAGAGCTGGACAATGACTAGGGAGGACAGAAGGAGAATTGATGCCTTTGAGCTGTGGTGCTGGAGGAAGAGTATTGAATGTACAATGGACTGCCAAGAAAACAAACATTCATCCTAGAGAGGGTTAAACCAAGCTACTCCTTGGAGGCAAGGATTCTGGGACTTCGTCTGACATACTTTGGGCATGTTGCAAGGAGGGACAGGTCCTTGGAGAGGGACATCATGCTTGGGAGGGTGGAGGGATGGCGCAAGAGGGGAAGACCCTCTATGAGGTGGATTGATTCAGTGACTGGGGTAATCGGGATGGGTGTGTCAGAGGCAGTGCAATTGGCACATGATAGAGCAGGGTTTAGGGCTGTTATACATAGGGTCGCTATGAGTCACAAACGACTTGATGGCATTTAACAACAACAACAAAAGAAATCATAACTAAATAGGTAAGAGTATATGTAAATATATAGATGCATGTATTTACAGTGGTGAATTTGGAGCTATATGAAGTTTAATGTTCACCCAAATTCTTCCTTTGAAATGTTACATAGAATTTTAATCATCATAGAAAGATGTGGATTTTAGCACCACAGTCTAAATAGACTGGATGATAGAGTTATTTGGTAGATTTTATATGGGATGTTAGGAAATAGTGTCATAAAGTTTTTCATAATCTTTTTCTTCCCCAGTCTTCAGGGTTTTTTTCATCTTCCATTTCCATTCATATTGTAAAACTTTTCTTATTTTTGGGAATAGATGGTACATTGGCATGTTAAAAGGTACACAGAGAAGTCTCTGCCCGTCTCATTCCCTGCATGCCCAGTTCCCTTTGCTCTCCTTCCTCCTTAACCTCTGTTTTCAGTCTTCTGAGAGGTACATCCCAGCTCTTTAAAGGAATTTGTTGTTGTTGTTATGTGCCGTCGAGTCGTTTTCGACTCATAGTGACCCTATGCACAACAGCCCTAAACCCTGCTCTATCCTGCGCCAACCGCACTGCCTCTGACACACCCATCCCGATTACCCCAGTCACCGAATCAATCCATCTCATAGAGGGTCTTCCCCTCCTGCGCTGTCCCTCCACCCTCCCAAGCATGATGTCCCTCTCCAAGGACCCGTCCCTCCTTGCAACATGTCCAAAGTATGTCAGACGAAGAAGCCCCAGAATCCTTGCCTCCAAGGAGTAGCTTGGTTTAATCCTCTCCAAGATGAATCTGTTTGTTTTCCTGGCAGTCCATGGTACATTCAATACTCTTCTCCAGCAGCACAGCTCAAAAGCATCCACTCTCCTTCTGTCCTCCCTAGTCATTGTCCAACTCTCTGATGGATAACAAGCGATTATGGACAATTTAATTATTTTAAATTGCTTCTACTTGTTTTATGCTTCCACTCATGACTTCTACTTGCTCATTTTAATTGCTTTGTACAACTTTGAAAATGCTGGCAAGTAAGTTTAGAATTAAATAGACAAAAATAAGAAATATTTTTCATTGACTTTCAGGAGACACAAGATACCCACTACTTGGCCAGCCACTGCAATACAACCCAGCCACTGTTGTACATGGACACATTCCAAACCAGCAGGTATGAGGACACTCGTGTCACTTTTACGTGGTTTTAACCATTCATCTTCCATTGCTGGCGGTGTGGGAGGGACCCCTGCACCCACTGTTTTGTTAAACACAATGTCAGCTCTGTCCCTCTACCAGCTAGCTTATAAAGGTTACCTGGCCTCACCAAGAAAAGCAAGGAGAAACAGTACCTACTGGCGTATTTGGCTGAGCAGTAATTCTCCAGTGCTGCCCCAGGGTGGGTGGTAGATGTGAAATTACATATCCTCGCTTATAAAAATGGTCAATGAATAACTTAACTGGTCATAGTGAGGGGCAAAAGTGTACAGAAGCAGAATTCAGAAGGCATGGGATTAGTTTTTCCTGCTGAAGTATAAAACTGTGATGGAATTGGCATAATACATGTTAAAGTTTTTAACATTTCAAATCCAGTTTCCAGTGCCTTTAAGTTGTTCCTCATCTCTTGTGGATTTCCAGGGTCATCCTGGAAACAGGCATGGAAACCGAGGAAGGAAACAAGCTAAAAAAGCCGCGTCCACTGATCTTGGCGCAGGAGAAGCAGGTATGTCCCTCAGGGTGTCTGGATGTGGCTCTTCAGGTATGTCTCTCAGGGTGGCTGGATGTGACAGTGGCTGAAAATGCCCAGCCCCAGAAATCCTTTCCCTGGAGTGTGCCTACAGCCACAGAACAACATGTAGTATACGGTTTAGGATTCTCACGTGGTTTCTTTTAACTTTGACTCATTGCAGATGAGAGGGTATAGTTGGGCCCAAGTAGTTTGAGGAACGGTGAAGGTTCTGCTGGGAAAATCTGTGTATGAATTAAGGTGATGGTCCTTGTCAGAACATACCTTTTCCTCTGCACCCTTTGAAAAAGAATATTCCGTAAAGCAGATGGCTGAATAAATGAACAAATATTTTGCCTTCCCATGGTAAAATGCTGTCACATTTTGGTTTTGGTTTTGTTTGATGGGTTGTTTTGTTGGATTTTTTTTTTTTATTTTCTCTTCACGACAGACTTGGGTTAGTTGGTGCATTTCTTTAATTTGCAGCAGGACAGTGAAGTTCAGAGAACTTGATGCCACACAGTAGACAGTCCACTGTAGGGCACTGCCTCTGGGCATCAATGAGTGAACACTGCCAAGTTGGCAGCCTGGCCCTAAAAGTTTGGTAGATTTGAATGGTCTCAGAAAACTGTGTTCATTTCCTGTTCACATTGAAATCTGCAGAACTTTAGAACCCATCTTTTAGTAGCACAATTAATTCTAGACCTTTTTTCATTCTAGTTGTTGGGAAGGTCTTGGAAATAACTGAACTACCAGATGGCATAACTCGCATGGAAGCCGAGAAGCTTTTTGGAGAACTCTTTAAAATTGGCGCCAAGATCCGGTGGCTCCGAGACCCACAGTCCCAGCCCCAGCTGCGGCGTCACCCCCTCTGCTGTGGCAGTGGGGACAGCACTGTCAACCCCGAACGCTCTAAACCCAGTGACTTGGCCTCCACATACACCGTCCTAGCCACATTCCCTTCCATTTCAGCTGCGCAGAATGCATTGAAGAAGCAGATTAACTCAGTTAACAAGTTTAAGCTGAGAACAAGCAAGAAGAACTATGACTTTCACATTTTGGAAAGGGCAAGTTCTCAGTAACAGAGCCACCTTTGGACCCTTTGCCTCCATGGGCACCCTGTCCTCTCCCATCTCCGATTGGCTTGGTGTTGGGAGCTTCTGTTAACATTATAGAGACTCCTAGAACATGTGGTCATGGCGTTACGGCTTTGGAAGAAAGGCCAGTGATCCAGCAAAGGGCAGAGAAAGATATGCATTTTTCCCCAAATAACTATAGGAATCCACATCAGAATGATACAGAATTAGCAGCTTTTTCTGAGGAAATGCTGTTCAAATGCCTCTTAACTTTTATAGTTACTTTGTTTTCTATTTCTGAATTCTTGTATCAGATCCAAAGCTCTATTTCTATTGTACAGCAAATTATTCTTCAAAATTATTATAACCAGTTGCAACCTTTATTTCTTTTCACAACCAGCACAGTGTGACCCAACATAGAATTTGTGAAGGGAAGAATGCAGAAGTGGAAGGATCAAGTCCGAATCGTTTGCCATCTTTGGTGGGGAGTTAAGGGTGGTGGTGACTACTCTTCCCCTGAAAGTCTCAGAAACATTTCGAGAAAACAGAGGACTCCCTGATGCGCTCCTTCCTTTTGTTCATTTAAGTATAAGGAACATAAGTCAAAAGTAAACTGTGTTTTAACACCTCTTCGTCAGACCACTTAGATTCAAAGGGGAATAGAAATTATTCTAAGAAAAAAGAAAAAAATATACTTTTTAAGTGTCCCGCCAGGAATTAAATGCCACTTATTTGCATTCTCTCCTTTGTGGATCCTAAGCTGTCACCTAAGGAAATGCATCTGATGAGTGCTGGAAACTTCTGACGTGGTTTGCAATGTGTTTTGTTTGCAGCAGGTCACTGGACATCAAAGATTTCATTGCACTTACGAACAAGGAACCTTTTTTTCGATTTCTGTGTCATTTGCAAGGCTGTACAATGTGTGCTGATGCAAGCCTTTTTCAGTTCAAGAGAATAAATGTTTACAAATATAGACTCACTTTGCCTTTTTTAAATTAAAGATGATCTTTTAAATTAATTTTGGTATTAAAGATTTAATAACTTGTCTCAAAGATTCCCATTTTGGCCTTACAGAGGACAAAGCACAATAAACCATCTCATTTAACAAATGTCTTCAAAAACATCCTTTTCTCTGTGGGAGCGATTCCTTGTGCATATGATTCACATTACTGAATACACTCATGAATATAATACCAGTCAGATCTTGACAACTTGTACTAATTACAATCAAGTAAGGAAAAATAGAGTATTATGCTTGATTAGGTAAAAATTTGTATTTTAACACACATACTTACAACTCAGTTGCTTATTTTTCTTTATAGAAGACTTTCCCCACTTGTTGGTCAAGAGAGTGAAACTGTGCAGCCATTGGCCCTTTTCCTGGAGACTGTTTGCTATGAGCCCAGACGAGGAGGACTTTGTGCTTGAAGAGCACAAAACTAGTTCTAGGTGACTGGGCTGTGGCACAGCTGTGTGCTTGCTCTTGGCACCAGAGGAGCTCAAGCTGACATGTCCTCATTATGAACACTGTTCTGGGGTAGAGATGGAGCTGCTTTAGAGCTATGAACTGTCAGATTAAGAAGGCAAGTCTAGCTTGTGCAGTGGTGCTGAGAAAGTTAGTGGACACAAAGGGCCCAGATGGGGCAGGAGATAGATGATGGATGTCCCCGCCCAGCCCACGAGTGGTGGTCCAGTGCGGACCTGTGTCTCGAGGGCCCCAGGATCCTCTCTAGTCTTCGGGTAGAATCGAGCTCTAGCACAAGGTAATGCGTGCCAGTACTGTTTGTGAAATATGTGGCATTTCTAAATGACTTAGTGGATTTGTTTGGGTATTTTGCTTTAAGGTCCGTACCAAACCCTAGAGCCAGCTGATACTATTTAATAATAATCTGGAGGAAAAAGGAATGGTGTATCAATAAACGGAAGGTCTCTCTTAAGACATATGATAGATTATGGAAAAAAAATGTAAAATATTCAACTTTTTTTCTCCCCCTTTTTGGACTTTGTATTTTACTGCATGTTCCCTTCATTTTTAAATCAATAAAGAGTTAATTGTCCAAAAAAAAAAAAAGAAGAAGGTAAGTCTAGCGGACAAACGAGTGATGACTGAAAATCATTTGTTGCCAAGCCCTGATGAAGTTTGTTGGATTTGTTGGGGGGGTTTTTTGTGTTGGGTTGTTTGTTTGGTTTTTTGGGGGTTATTTTGTTGTTTTTTTGTTGTTGTTTTGGTTTTTTTTGCCCTGATGAGCATCAAAGATGGAAAAGATAACTAAATAGAGCCAGTATTGTTATTAGGTACCTTTGTCTTGATTACGATTCATAGTGACCCTCTCTGAACAACAGATCTAAACCTTACCTATCTTGTACTATCTTCCTGATTTCTGACATGCTCTCAAGTCTGTAGTTACAGTCACTGTCCCTATCTTGTTATAACAGTACTACATAGGGATCGAATTTTTTTACTATTACAGTAATCTTACAAATTATCAAAATAGTTTTCATATTCAAGGGGACACCCCTCCCCTTCTTGAGAATGAGAACAAAAATGGATCTCCTCAATCTGTTGGCTGGACAACTGTCCTCCAAATTTCCTGACATAGACTGGTGAGTGCAAACAAGGCTGCGTCTGTTAATTCAGACAAGTTAGTCGGTATCCCAGCGGTTCCTGGCCCCTTATTTTTTACCAATGTCTTTAATGCTGCTTCTGCATCCTCTTTCATTACCATTGGCTCCTGTTCAAATGGTATTTCCTGAAATTTTTCAGTGTCTATCAATTCTTTCTGGTGCTGTGATTCTGTGTATTTCCTCCATCTTCTTTTGATACTTTTGGGTCATTCAAAATATTCCCCATTGCATTTTTCAGTATTGCTACACGAGGCTTAAATTTATTTTTCCATTCTTTTAGCTTGAGAAATGCAGAGTGAGTTCTTCCCTTTTTATTCTCCAATTCCAGCTCTCTCCATATCCATTATAATATTTTGCTTTGTCCTCCCGAGCCACCCCTTTGAAATCTTCTGTTCAATTCTTTCTCTTTGACATGTTTTCCTTTTGTTTTGGCTTCTCAACATTCCAGTGCAATCTTTAGTGTCTCTTCTGGTATCTATTTCTTTTTTTTTCTCTCTCCTCCATTTTTGGGGCTTGGGTTTTTTTAATTTTTTTCCCATTTCTTCTTGTGTACCATCAAATCAAATCAACTGGCATAAGAGAAGACTGTCCCTCCTCCAGTACAGCATCTGGTCTCCTCCATTTTTGTAATGATGTTTTACTTTCTTTTTTTAACTAATTTTAATACAAGTTTATAGAGACTTTGGATTTCCATTCACTCATTGTTGTACTTTTCTCCCTGCTCACCTCTCTTCCCCCCCCCAATTCACTGTTCTTTTTGAAAAGTAAAATTCTTTCATTGTTATACAATCCCTCCCCATGAGTCCACTCCACTATACAGCCTTCGTTCTGGACTTCTGTCATGACAGTAATACCTAATACCTAATCATATATCCCTTCTCACCACTGGGATGATGGTCAGCATCATGATGGATGGTGAAGAGATTGAGATTGTTCACAGTTTTAGTTTGCTTGCCTGCACAGTCAACACTCTTGGCACCAGCAGCCAGGAAATAAAAAGACATATGGAGATGGGAAAGTCTGCTGTTAAGAGACCTCTAAAGTGCTGAAGAGTAATGATGTCAATCTGGAGACTTACGGTGCACCAGATACATGCATTCACTTATTATGCATGAGAGAGCTAGACAGTGACTAGGGATAATAGAAGGAGAATTGATACCTTTGAGTTGTAGTGTTAGAGTATTGAATATACCATGGACTGCTAAATAAACAGGTTTGTCCTGGAGAGGGTGAAGCCAGGCTGCTCCTAGGAGGCAAGGATTCTGAAGCTTCATCTGACATACTTTGCACATGTTGCAAGGAGGGACCAGTCCTGGAGAGGGACATGCTTGGGAGGGTTGAGGGACAGCACAAGGGAGGAAGACCCTCGATGAGATGGATTGATTGAGTCACTGGGGTAATGGGGGTAGATGTGTCAGATACAGTGAGGTTGGCACAGGATGGCAGGGTTTAGGGCTGTTGTACATAGGGTCACTATGAGTCTTAGGTGACTCAGTGGCACATAACAACAAAATCCCTTTTAAACAATTCTCTCCATCTGTTTCAATGCAGTATACATTATTTATCCCTTCTTGCTCAGTCTCCCCCAAACTCCGATTTCAGTTCCGTTTTACAACTGTGGTACTAGCAGTATTTGTCCTTTTGTGACTGAGATATTTCACTCAGCATAATGTCCTCCAAGGTCACACATTTTGAATAATATTGCATGAGTTCCTTGTTTTTCCATGCAGCATAGTATTCCATTGTGTGAATATACCACAGCTTCTCTACCCATTCGTTTGTTGTTGGGCACCTGGGTTGTTTCCAACTCCTTACTATTATGACAAAGCTGCAATAAACATGGGTGTGAATGAAAAAGTCTTACCACTGGACTAATATGCAGTGTCATGATGGATCGAGAGGAGATTGAAACTCAACAGTTTGATCTTGTTTGAATAAACAACTTTTGGTGCCAGCAGTCAGGAGACATATTGCACTGGGAAAATCTAAAGGACTTTCTAAATTATTGAGGAATAGTGATGTCAGTTGGAGGATAAAGGTGCGTCTGATTCAGGCCATTTACAATTACTTGCTATGCATCTGAGACCTGGATGATGAATAAGGAAGGATGACAAAGAATTGACACCTTGGAGCTGTGGTGTTGGAGAAGAGCACTGAGCATCTCTTGGATGGCCAGGAGAACAAACAGGTAGGTCATGGAAATGGTGCAGCCGGAGTGCTCTTTGGAGACATGAATAAAGAGGCTTTGCCTCACGTACTTGGGGCATATTGCTAGGAGGGACTATTCTTTGGAGCAGGACATGATGCTGGGAAGGGTGGAGAGTTGGCAAAGAAGACAACCCTCAACCAAGTGGATTGACATAGTGACTGCAGCAATGGGC